AGAAAATCATATGACATGTATACACACACACACATAATAGTTCTCTTAATCATATTTTGATTTCTTTTTGCCATAGACCTTAATGTTTTCCATGATTTCCTATGCTTAATACATCTCCCTTCTCTAATAAAAAAAAATTAAATATCATTATCTATCTTTCAAGATCCATCGGCTTCACCATGAACAAAAATTATTGGGAATATCCTTGTTATCCTTGATAACAACTCATTTGAAATGTCTTTTCACAATCTAATGAATAGCTACTCATTTTTGGTTTTGTTTTAAAGATTTAGTTATTTCATTTTACTTATTTATTTTTTAATTTGACTAGAAAAAGACAGAAAGAGAAAGAGAAAGTGAGAAACCAAACCACCAGGTCTGAGACTCGAACCACAGCCATGTGGGAATCCAGCATCTTAACCATGACACCACCTGCTGGCCCTTGACTTTGTTTTTGTTTGCCAGATGGCATATGTGTTTGTCTGAGAAAGACATAGAAAAGGAAACTGAGAAAGCACTCCCTCATGGGGGACAGTCATGCTACAATCCCATCGCCTCCATTTCTCCCTCCTTTGGGGATTTTGGGCACACATGCACATGTGTCCAGCATGTGTTTCAAGCCAACAGGTCTAGGGCTAGAACTATGCTACCGGCCATGTGGGATCCAGCTGCCTTAACCACCATGCCACCATCTGGCCCACTACTCATCTTTTAAGACTCAAATTAAATATTGTCTTTTTTGTGAGTCTTCTCTTTTCCAGGTAAAATTCATCTTTTCCTTAAATATACACTCACCACATTATAATTATTTGCTGTATCAGCTGGCAACTACATTTGGCTATTAATAAGAAACCTGTTACTGTTCTCTCACATAAAAGAAATTCAATATTGATGACTGAAGATAGTTGTATGGACACAACTGGGGTCTACTTTATAGTATGTTCATTCTACTCCCTGGGGTTTATGCCTAGGATCAGATTTGGATACATGTGTAAGGATATGTCAGCTGTGCTAGCTAGTGGATATACTTGGACTAATTGAGTTCATTGGTAGAACAATTGAATGGGGGGGGCGGAAGGCATTGAGGGCAATCATGAATGTCAGGGACAATGGAGGAGGAAGATGGGACATGGCAGAGGGTGGGGATGGGAAGCTAGGATGGCAAAACAAAAGGCAAGGTATGCAGGACACGGGAATTGGGAAATCATCTGCCGAGAACATGTATGTTGATGTGCTTGATTGAGCCAATGCACAGTGTATTTTGGATGGAAAATTCATATGTGTGTTGTGATGAGAAAAAAAAATTTATAATAATAATAAAAAAAAAAAGAAATTCAATAGTAGGGGCTTCAGTATTCTTATGATGGCGCTTTTCACTTCTCTACTCTGTCTTGTCGATGTATGACTTTAGATTTTAAGGCATCTTGTTGTCACAAGGTTGTTGCTCTAGCTCCTGCTATCACACCCATGTTCTAGGCAGGAATAGGGCTTGAGTCAGCACTGCTAGTATTCCACAATTGGCCCACCAATGGGAGCTTTTCCAATGGGAATAGTCACATATAACATCTTCCATCCACATACGACTGGCCTATGCTTAGTCACTCCATCTGCAAGGAAGGTTGTGAGATGAAATTTCTTAGCTGGGCACAAAACAAGGTTCCTGTCACTAAGCTAGAAGGGGAGAAAGGGAATGGGATGGTTCTCATTTTCTTTTTTTGTATTTGTTTCTTTAGATGGACTGTGAGTTCATGGGAGGTTATGTCATGTTCATTTTTATAATCCCAGAACCCAACATAGTACCATAGTTCATGATGCTTAGTTTTTATATTATGTTACTAATTGAAAGAAGAATGGAAATCTCAGCTAGATACGTGTTAGCAAAAAGAAGTAATAAGAGTAGTCTGAATTAATTTATTCAACTTATATTGTCCTTCATGGACTTAATTATTTCAACTACCATTATTTGAGCTCCTAGTCTAGGGCCTGTATGAGGTGTGAGGGACAGAGCCTCCAGTACAAATAGCTCCTGGCTTTTAGAGCAGGTAGGGCTGAGTTTGGGAAAGGATAGTCAGGGCTCTGCAGCAAACAAGAAATCTCAGGGCACTGTCCTAAGATGACTGAGAAGTGGGGTAGAGACCTGGACTACCAGCTGAGAGGTTAGGAAGAGGGGAGTATTTCCTTATGAGTGACACAGAGTGAGGAAGAAATGGAGGAGAGGAGGAAAGACAGATGGGACGCTGGGAAACAAAGAACCTGATAACTTAGTCAGGAGTCTGTAAGTAATTCCTGCCGGCATCACATGCTATTTGTCAGGAAAAAAAAAAGTCATTCCCATGTATCCCCTGGATTTCCTCATGAAGAGATTTCTCCACACTTAGCCCTTGAAAGATTCTGAGCCACTGACAATCCCCTTCTGGGTACAGATGTCTTGGCCAGTCTGGAATATGGTCACGATTGTGGTCCGTGGGTCTTCCTGAACATGGAAAAACCATCTTCCCAGCATCTCATCTTATAAGCTGGTGTTCCCTGATAGATGTGTTTGGGAAATGCTGGTCTACATGCACATTTCTCAAACTTGGCAGTTTGACTCCAGTAGACATCATAGAGTTGCCATGTATTTCCAGAGAAGGATTTAGCCAAGGGAACCACAGGTATAAACTAGGTTTCATTCCTTCTTTCTTTAAGAATTATTTATTTATTTAATTCCATTTGTTATTATTATTATTTTTTAAATTTGACCAGAGAGAGACAGAGAAAGAGAAAGGGAAAGCGAGAAAGCGAGCCGCTAGATCCAGGACTAGAACTGCAGCCAGCCATGTGGGAATCCAGCACCCTTAACCACCACGCCACCTGCCGGCCCCTAAACTAGGTCTGTTAGTGTGTTAATACCTTGAAATTGCTTCCAGGAATATAAGAAAATAAATTCTTGGTTTAGGCCAATACATTTGTAGTAATTTGCTACAGGAGCAATGGGAAGCTAATAGGATGGGACTTCACGGGAAAAGAAGAAAAAAGGTACAAGTTAATTGTGGTACAGAAAAACTTTGAAATCCATACATAGTTTTCCTGTAATGCACATTTTCCACGAACCTTTTGAAGACCCTGTACATAATTTCCTAATGCATTTCCTGGTGTGGCTTCCTTATCTCACACTGCAGTGTGAGATTACTCTCTCCCCCTCTGGATTCTTTTTTCTGAATCCATCCTCTTTGTTTTCTCAAAAATCAAATCTGATCACATCACAGAGTTTGAAGTACAAGAATACTCACCAACGCTAGATAGTTTCCTCTCCTGGCATAAAATCAGAAACCAGAAGTAAGGTTTGTTTACAAATCTCACCAAGGACATTTGATGAGACCTCGGGAAGGCTTAAGAGGGATATGACTATAACTAAGAAAGCTTAAAACAAACTGTACTTTACTCTGAAGAAAGAATGCATTAACCGAAAAGGCTAAGGCAAGGCAGGGATTTTTCTAGGCTTATCCAGCAATAGACAGAGGCAAATTCACTGACTCTGGTAGCTATCAACCAACAAAGCTCACTAAGTTGTGTAGGATAACCAGCAGGTGCCTTGGTCTTAGGATGAGCTTCTCCTAAATAGTGGGCATGGTTGAGTAATCATTGTAAATCTAATACTGATGTAAATGCTGGTCATATGACAGTTGACTAGCACAAGTCAGTCCATCTATACACCTCTGGATGTGAAATAAAACAGGCTGGAGATGAGCAGATGGCATAATGGCTATGTTGCTGGAATCCCACGTAGTTGATCACCATGCAAGTTCCAGACCCAGAGGCTTAAAACTCACACTGGGCACATGTGTGTGCATGCCTGAAATCCCAAGAGGAGACTGGAGAAGAAGGGACTGTATCATGGCCATTCCCCCTGGGGGGGGGGGTAATTTCTTGCTTTCTGTCTCTGTCTCTCCAGCAAGTGCATGCATCCTATAGCAAAAATCTCTCAAGAAAAACAAAAATCCAAACTGAGGCTCGACCCTTCTAGTAAACAGAAACTAGATTAAGGTCCAGCTACTCAGTGAGATCCTGAATCCCAAGCTTAATGATGATAACTATATTCTTGTCTGCTACCACTCACTTCTGTTTCAAGACCTGCCCAAAACAGGGGCGACTTTCAGAGCAAAAGTCGTGAAGAAAATTCTAAGAGGAAGGAGAGGTCAACCCTGGCAAACCCCACTAAAGGCACGAAAAGATGGAGATTAAATTTTTCCATTACATTTGACAATTAGGCCGTGACTGATGTTGTTCAGTGGAGTGAAAGGTTGACAAGGGAATAGGCGGTTAGGACATATTCGCATTAAGGCTAGACAACTCCTTTGAGAAAAGTCTAGTAGGGTGAAGGGAGAATCCATGCTCTACAGATTCTCCTTTAAATAATATTCCCCAAAGGATATAGAGAACTCTTCTCCCCCAAACCCTCCAAATGTTCTTTCATCAAATTTAAGTCTTACTCTTGCTCCTCAGCCCACCTGGAGACGAGAAACTAATGAGCTGTGGAAAAACTAAAGGTCAAAAAACAAGAGGAAGAAACACAGCGTCAAAAAAACAAAACTCAAAACAAATCAGGCCCTGAGTCAAATGAGAAGTAACGAGTTGTGCTTCAAATTTAACATCCATGTTTTTATCATTGTAAAAAGTGACAGTCTAGAGAATTGAAGGAGGGGGCAGTGTTCTATCACTGGACTGCCTCCTGGTATCTCATCCATTATCTGCACCCTATCTCCCTCCAAGCGTCTAGCCCTTTCTGAGTTGTGGGCACGTGTGAACACCAGCCTGGACCAAAGACTGCACTCTGTCCAGTGGCTGGAGTACTGCACGCCATAAAAAAAGAGCGGGGTCTTGAAAACAGACGCATCTGCATTCCCATATGGAAGCACCGTTTCCTGCCTTGAGTACCTATCTGTAAAGATGGGAGAGGTGCGGGTGTGTGTGTGTGTGTGTCTGAATCCGAGCCCTGTTCTTTCTAAACTTTTGTTACTCACGTCTGATTCATTCGCTGTTGCTTTTCTTTCTCTGCCCCCTGCCTCTGTCATTGCCTGCTGCTAAGGGGGGACGCTGAATCACGGCCACTCCAGATGAAAGCAATTCAAACCCAGTCCTCGAGGATGGAGGGCTTCCCCCCCTTGGCTGAGGAAGAAGCCTCGTACTTTCCGGGGTGACCGTAGAGGACAGTTTCCCAAGTCTCCATAGCCGCGGGCTATGGAAGGTCTGACTCGCGTGGGTGTCTGAGGCGCTGGTCACCGCGCGGCGGCCGGCTTCCTGGGCCTGGGGCCTGGCGGAGCCGCGGGCCGGGCGGCGACGGGGGCCGTGCTAGGGCCG